GCGTCACGCAGGCATATGGATGCTACACATTACACTCACAGTAGCTGTGTTTCAAAGCCTAGGCTGCAGCCGAGGTAGTGCGTGTCCTCTGCAGGACTGTCCTATGAAGACTCCTCCTCAGTAGCCTATTGGTCACACAAATAGAACAGTCCTAACAAGGCTGCTGGTGAGAGAAAATAGAGCCCATCGCATTGTGTTGGTTGCCTTTTAATTTTTTTTACGGAAATGGAGGAGATGTTCTTATGTAGTATAATAAACTACATACATACAAATACTTCAAAATAAAATATGATATACTGACGATATAAAATATATGCATGAATGCTTTAATTAACCAATCATTTTACACTTTCTAAGATAATGAAGACGAACTCAAGGATGTGAACAACTTACATTTTAAAACAAACTCTGCTCCAACGGCTTCGTTTTCTGTCATTTTCATGGTGCTTTCTTTTTCCTTTGCATCGTTGGTGCGCAGAGAACTGTGGGTAACCAAAGGGCTTAAAAGATACATCTGTTGCGTCCTCAAAGTCACTCAGAACATAGTTTGCATTTCTAGTCTGTATACGAAGGGTCCTTCACTTTGGAATGGCCTGCTATGACGTAGCGGCTGAGAAATGCAGCCTAGGCTTTGGAACGCAGCTGATTTCGGGTGTTTCTGTGAGTAAATAACAGAAATCATGCATGTAATGTGTAGCATCCAAAGTGTTGGCTGGCTGCTAACTCACTCGCCATAGCGGTGGCGCTGATGCTTCAATGGTAGCAAAATGTTTGGTTTAACAGTTCTTCTGGAAATACTCTTTTCTAGTGTGGTAATGCACTCTTCCTCACATTAACTGATATCTTAATCATCTCCTCTTCTGCCTTCAGTTTGAGAAATGAGCACAAGTTCACTTTTTTGAGTAGTCTCTTAGGCAATTTGCGAGTTATCAGATTTGCAATCGTGTCACGGCTTATTGTAAAGATTTTAGAGGTATCCTGCACATAGTTACAGTTGCTAAAGTATGAAGGATCAACTAGGTGAACCAGTTTGCTACAGCGCCACCCTGAGGCAGAGCAGTGCTGCATCTCCAGTTAGTTAAGAACGCCAAAGACAGAAGATAGGTCGAAAACCACTGGTCTAGCTCATATTATAAAAGTATTTCTGATGTTTTGACAAGCGTTTGACGATTTGCTTTGTAGTCTCTGCCTTGTTGAAAAACTTATCATTAGTTAACAGTAGTTTCAATGAAAGTGCCATTAACTTCTAGGAGGCCACTTTTAAGGTGTATTTCAGTATGAAAATGCATCAGAAATCTCGGGTACCCTCAGTAAAACCTCACCATTTCCACCCAAGCTTCTTTTACTTGTTAGCTACATTAGCCTCATAGCTCCTAGCACTAAAAAAAAACAGGCAAACTTGACTACATGGCTAAATTTGATATTTTGCCCACTTTATTGCTTGAATAACAAGAATTCAGTATAAAATGAGATTTCATTGTGGTGGTGAGGACTGTCTTTTTTAAGGTGAACGGGTCCAGTCAGAGTGCACTTTGGCTGTGACTTTGCGGAGGACACTCTAAGCGTGTGTTGGATTGGAGCTATAAAAATCAGCCGCAGTCTCCTGGAGCCGTGCGGCCGGCCTGATCTCACTCCATCTCCATAGAGACAGATGGCGGAGAGGTCAGCGCGATCACACGGCGGGGTCTCTCTACGCTATTTAAAGCTACGTCTCACCTGTAGGCCAGGTATCACACAGCTACCCTCTAGAGGACTGCAGGTGAACTAAAAGAGGATCTGGCTTTGCCTTCAATTTGAATGTCATGGATGTTTGCTTTCTATCGGATTGGCTAGGCTGTGTTAACCCTCGATTGAAATTTCTGCATAATTCAGTGTGTGAGATGTAAACAGAGTGATTCAGAGTGGTTTGGTGTGAAATGGTTCAGATTTCTTTACAGTGGTGGTGATAGGAACCAGGGGTTGCCATGACTACAACACAAATATAGCAACTTTATTTACAATGTCTCAGTAACCATTTCATGTAATAATTTCATGTAATAATTTCATGTAATAATTTACTGGTTCCTCTCACCACCACTGTGAACAATTTTGACTTGGTAAGTTTCTCTAGAACAGAGCATTTCACACCAAACCACTCTGAACGAACTTTACATTTAAAGCTTTTATGCAGAAATTTACAAACATCTGGAGAATTAGTGGCTTATTGCATTTATAAAACAGGGACAAAACATAATATGATAAAGTACCTTACTGTTCAATAAACGGTTTAATTTTTTGTTAATAATAAAATGATTTTTAATAAACAATGTATTAGATGTTTCTAATAAAGAGGCCAGTGAGTGGAAGCACAAGGTGGGTGTTTCTAATAAAGTGGCTAGTGAGTGGAAGCTCAAGGTAGGTGTTTCTAAAAAGAGTGACCACTTAGTGGAAGTACAAGGGGACTGTTTCTAATAAAATGGACAGGGTGCATATGTTGCGAAAGGTTGAATTTATGTCCCTTTGTTATAAATCACTATCAGGTGAGTTTCCATCTTCTGTAGAGTTAACAGGCTCGTTTAGTATTCCGAAGCCTTAGGCATGTGACTTTGGCCTGAAGTTAATAAAGTGGGTTCACAATGTACCAGATATTGTTGTAATATTTCAAAAAGACATTAGACACCAGGCTGGCTATGTGGCTGTGTTGCCACCTGGAGGACAGTGATTAATAATACAGTTCAGATTTATTTCATTTCTTCCCTTAAATTGGATCTTTTTTTATATATATGTAATACAATATTTAATATGTTCATATTTTACTTGAAGGTTGCACATTACTGACTTCAAGAAACTCTTTCTTTAAAAATTTCTTTTAAGGAGCTTGGTGGTAAGTGGTGCCTTTGATATACTGATATAGTGAAATTAGTGAGATAATTCACTGTCAGCTGGAAGCACCGATATCCTGGGCTTTTAAGGGAAATTCTACCAATTTCTCAAATTTTCTGCATGATTCAATAATTGAGATGTAAACGAAGTCATTCAGAATGGCTTAGTGTGAAATGGGTGATTGCAGAGACTCAGATTTCTTTACAGTGGTGGTGATAGGAACCAGGGGTCGCCATGACATAAGCACAAATATAGAGACATTTTATTTACTATCCAAAACCACCAGTGAAAACAGTGGTAAATACACTTTCTTTGGGGACTATTTTGCCTCACAATACTCTGTATGTATCCCTCCACCATTTCAAAAATGCATTTATGCTAAAGCCTTCTCAAAACTATAGTAAAACAATGTCTCATCAGGGCAGTGAATTCATAACTATTTCATGTAATAACTTTCTGTGACGGAGCTTTTAGAGGTGGATGTCTGGTTTCTATCACTACATTAAAGAGGCCCCATACAGAAATCTGCTATATGACCATAAATGAACATATTATAAATAGGCATATATTTTAAAACATATTTACATATATTTAATGTACATACATGTAAGTATCAAATAATGGACGTTTATATTATCTGGTTGTTTACAATGTGCATATTTATAGTATAGAGTTTAGTTATATGGCAACAAAGATGCATAAAAAACTTATATAACATGAAGCTAGCATATGAGTAATATATGCCCTCTATATATGAATAATGTTCTCTTATATTGTTATATGGCATGTATGTCACAGATATGTCCATGAGACAAATGTAAGTTGGATATACGGGACATTCATATATGCTAACACGTCATATATATATATATATATATATATATATATATATAATATATATAGCCATAAATGCCATATATCAGATTTCCATACAGGACTGATGTTTGTAGTTTCTAAGTTTCTAAAGGCCCGCGAAGAAGGAGTGACAATCACTGACAAAGCTCTGTACATAAAATAGCAATACTAAATACTAATTTACCAATACTAAAATACTTAATACTTCAAAACTATAACATTCAATTTGCTACATTCAAACTGGAAGTAATGAAGTAAACTCCATCCGTTAAACAAAACTCCTGAAACATCTTCATAGCTTTGCTAGCTTGCTAGTTAACTAGCAAGCTAAAGGCTACAGCTAGTAATAACAAAAAATATAGACAATACACCACAGATTCTAAAGTTTACAGCCTGACAAAGCAGTTATTCACATAATTCATGTACATTATGTTCAGACATTACATTAGAAAGTTTGAGTGGGCAATTAGCTCACTGAAGCTAAACTAGCCAAGTTACTCACAGCTTTGACTGAAACATTCATCAAACTGACCACTGGATTCTATCAGTGTCTTTCCAGTAAATAGGTTTTCAGTTCTTTTCTACATGCAGGAAAGTCTGTTGCAATTACTGTCCGCTGTGATCGATTATACACTGAAAAACTTTAAGGGGTTCTTTAAGGGTTCTTTAGTAATGGGAATGGTTCTGTTTAGACTCACATAGAACCATTTCATGCTTAAATGGTTTTGGTATTGTGAAATGGATTGATGGAGAATGTGTTGTATGTGGTTCTATATAGCCCCAAAAAGGGCTCTGCTACTGTTATGACGTCCAGCCTGTATACAATAGAAGAACCCTTTTAGGTGCTATATAGAGCAATTTTCAAAAAGGTGTTATATATAATCATATACAAAACATTTTTCATCTATCTGAAGAATGATTTCACCATACAAAGAACCATGTCAGCATGATACCTTAATAATACATAATACCTTCAAGTATACAATTTTCTCTAAAGCTCTAAACAGAACCATGGCCTTTGCGTCCCTTGAAGAACCATCTTTTTAAGTGGCATAGCAGATAGAGATTAGGTTAAAAGGCTGTAGCATTCCAGAGCTGCTGTAACGCACTGTGTGCATCTCAGTGACTCCTTTAGCTTTACTTGTAATAAATAATGCATTAAAATAGTTGCTGGTGATTCATAGAAAATTGGTTCAGTGTTCAGTTTAACATGGAGACATTACAGCCATTGCCTTCACTGGAAGTAATTTACATAAATATACTTCATTTCAGACACCACACGGTCACTGATTAATATAATCTTTAATACAGCACATTATAGTTTCACCTTATAATCACTGTACAAGCTCAGTAAAAGCAGTAATTATGTCTGTCAGCGTCTCTCTGTGTTTAACTCACTTTGGTTAAACAGACGTTACCACCGAAACTGCCTCCATACTGAGAAAAGTCATAATAAGTAGAATATTTACATAATATTTTAGTCTGAAAATTAGACGCCTCATTACAGTTACTGATGCAAGTGTACTTGATGAGCGTATCTGTCTTGAAACAAAATAAACAAACAACAAGCTCGTCCTGTACAATTTGTCACGTAAGGCTGGTGTTCTGGCGAGCTAAGCTGACAGGAATAGTTTGGCCAAATATGCTAAGAGTGCATAAAGAATAAAGGATCAAATAGCACTAGCTTTTATTGTTTATTTCTTAGCATATTTGGTCAACCAATGCCTTTAAATGTGCTATGACATAGTGAGGCACTTCAGCCTTGTGTTCGCGCCTCCTGGAGATGACACGTGAGTAACGCTTCACTGGCTTTTATCAAGATATTCCAGGTTTGGAGCGTCCAGCCTCTGCTCCATCTGCCTGTTCTTCGTGAACTCCTTCAGCAGATCCATCACTTCTCCTTGGTAGACATCCGGTGTTGGCTTTGCCTCTGAGGAAACGACACAGAGAAACAAAGAAACAATAATTACCATGTTGGGAAAAAGAACTGATAGAGAAATAAAAAAAAAAATAATAATAATAAATAATAGTAATTTGTATTTATATAGCACTTTTCTTGCCAGTGGCAGCTCAAAGCGCTTTACAGACAGGTGATAAAGCTTTACAGTAATACAAGAAATTAGTATTTATTTAGATTCATATGAGAAAATGACACAGACCAAATTAAAAGATAAATACGAGTTTTAATTAAATACTAACTTTTTAGATGCTTCCTAAAAGTGTGCACTGAGCTTGACTGTCTAGTAGAAAGGACTAATTTACCTTTAAACAGCAAAGAGATATTAAATAATATGTACACACAATAAACTAAAATGGTACAGGTCTAAGCAGCAGCAAACCTAGTGTTTTGGGTTTTTTGGGGAGGGTTGGGTTGCAGAAAGGTGCATTTTTGTACCTCTTTGTAACCTAACATTATAAAACAGTAAAATAAAAAAGCCGGGAATCAAAAGAAACAGGGTGTATGGAGCGAACATGACTTTAAAAATAACTGCAGCAGAATATGAAAAGAGCAGATACTGAAGACATATGGTTGAGGTTCCCCAGATTTTAGTACCTCTGTGTGTACCTGAGTGTGTGTGTGTGTATATACACATATATATATATACATACACCCATCAGGCATAACATTATGACTGGTACGAATGGATCAGACACAACAGTGCTGCTGGAGTTTTTAAACACTGTGTCCCCTCACTGTCAACTCTATTAGACACTCCTGCCTTGTCAGTCCACCTTGTAGATGTAAAGTCAGAGAGTCATAATGTTATGCCTGATTGGTGTATATACACACATATGTGTGTATAAACACGCACACAAATATTTATATATTTTATTTATATATTTATATATATTACTGTGTGTGTGCGTGTTTGTGTGTGTTTTCCTTTTTTATCACAGAAGCTCTGTCAGAATTTCTTTCTCTTCTGTAGCTCACCTGTTGCCCAGTAGTAGATGTCCCAGTCGTTGCTTGGCTCGTTGATTAGTCTGTCATACTGACGCAGCTGAGCTTCATTCATACTCTCCAGATACTGCCTAGCAAAAATGCTAATGCAAAGAAAAGAGTGCTGCAGGATTTGGAGTGATGACAAGACGCAGTGCAGTTAAATTTTGTTGACTCAAAATACCATTTGTAATATAATTCTGTGAATAATTCTGGTTACTTTCCTGCACTTTATAGAGATTTTTCAATCAATATAATAACAATAATAAGAATAAAAATAGAAAATATCAGTAATACTAATAATTGGTGTGCACTGCAGTCCAGTACAAAAGTGGATTGTACATGCACATTAGTGTAAACAAATGCTGCAACTATTCCACATTCCATTAAATTTAAAAACACCAATTTTCACTGTGTTTTTGTTTTGTACTACTGACTCCACCCACAAAACAAACAATACAAAACACAGCTAATGTCATACACTGTGATAATACAATTTAAATGTTATTTTACACTATACAGTCACATAATTGTACCATCTTAAAAACACTAAGATGTTTTGTTTATTTCAGATTTTTATTCTCTCCAGTCATCATAATTTTAACACTACACAGTTTGGTCAGTAAGGGGAGCAGTGCACTTACTGCTCCACCTCAAACTCCACCTATGAGCACAACCATTGGCTCACTGAACACAGTCGTTTTATTGGTTCCCTTCCGGAACACCTGCATGAACTAAGCCGTGATTCATGTAAATAATATGTTAATGAGGTGCTGGTAGGCTGGCACTTGATTTCACGCACTGCAGCTAATCCTTCATTCGCGCTCAAATATCCGCTCATTTTCACATTGTACGATTGTTTAAACGAATCAGATGCAGAGTAGTTTCTGCATCATTAAAGGCAGTCCAGTCTGCGCTATTTGTTATACAACTTTGATAAATAAGAGCCAGTCTCTATGGAAGTTGACTGTGCACTACAAATATGGCACAAAGTGACTGGGTCGAAAAACACTAATTTTCATCTATGTAGAGTTTTAAAGTACATCAGATGTCATGTTAACTGAAATGAGCAGATGAAGCCAACAAGCACGTTTTGGCAATAAAATTCTGGTATATTATTCACTCCTCAGTGCTGTAATGTGTTCTAACCTGAGGAGGATGCAGTTCTCCAGCATGCCTCTCTTTCGGCTCTCGTAAAGCAGACGCTTCCTCTTGATATCCAGAGATTCATTTTTTTTCTCCTGCCACGGTGGCAAGGGTATCTCTATCATATTTGGTTCTGGGGAATCACCACGGTAACCTCGGGTCACCACTGGTCCTGCAACAGCCGGCCGCAGGGAAGTCCGGCAAAAACCAAGGATGAGCTGGTGACCATAAATAATTATAAATTATAAAAAAATAGAAAAGATATAGAAAAATTATAGTCAGACCCATTCATGTGGCGTAAAATGTTTTTAAACATCACACGATAATTTTTTTTCTATTCATTCATGTGAAAACAGACTCATAATACATTTGTAGTAATTTTATTAGTATTCCTTAACTAAACTAGCAGCAGCGCTCACTGGAATCAGTTATTAAGGAGGTGCGTTCATTTTAATACATTAATATTTCTTGCATGGTTATAGGGTCCTTTAATATGATTGAAACCCTGTATATGAGTTTACAAAGCACTAAAAACGAGTTCCACTGTTGCTACATACTACTATTTAATTGGGCTTTAAGGGAAATTCTGCCAATTTTTCCAAAATTCTACATATTGAACTTGTTGAGATGCAAACAGAGTCATTCAGAGTGGTTTGGTGTGAAATGCTCTGTTCTAGAGAAACTTACAGAGTCAGAATTGTTCACTGTGATGGTGATAGGAACCAGACGTCCACCTCTAAAAGCTCCCTCACAGAACGTTATTACATGAAGTGGTTATGAATACACTGCCTGATGTCTGCGACACTGTTTTATGATACCTTTGTGATGAAGTTTTGGCTTAAAATGTATTTTTAATCCATTCATGGCGGAGGGATATATGCAGGGCGTTGTGAGGCAAATTAGTCCCCAAAGAAAACTTTTTTTCAGATTTATGCCTTACCATCATCATTTTGGATAGTAAATAAAATGTCTATATTTGTGCTGCAGTCATGGTGACCCCTGGTTCCTATCACCAACACTGTAAAGACGTCTGAGTCTACAATCAACAATTTCACATCAAACCACACTGAATTACTGTTTACATCTCAAGAATTTCGTATTCAGAAATTTTGAAAAAAATAAAAGTTGTCCATATTGCTATTCTAAATTACAACACATTGCCCTCAGGCTTATTTCAGGTTTAGATTTATCAACTAGCCATGTCCTCTTTGATAAGGATAATGATTCAGTCTATTAGGAGCCCATTTCTGTGTAAAATAGACAGTGAAACCCTTTGCATAACCACTTGGATAACCGAAGTTTAACCATCGTCTCTTCTCAAGTAGCGGCGAAGCAACGTACAACGGCGTCATGGGAGTTGTAGTTTTTCGCAGAGAGTACTTCGATCTGCTCACGTTGAAGTGTCTCATTTTGGAAACTACAACTTAAAAATCTCGAACGACGTGGAAAACGAACAGACGCTCTTAAATTTATTAACGAATGCCCTAAATCTAACTAGATTTATGTCCTTCTTAAACACTGGAAAAAAATGCAGAACTTTCGTTATATCAGTCATCAGTCCTCGTCTAAGAACAGAGCGGACGATTTCATAGTAAGTAGCTGTTAGCTAGCAAACGAGCTAACTTAACCCTGCAGTGACCTTAACACGGTTTTTCTAACGAGGCTAAAGTTGGCTTCCTATTTGCCAGCTGCTTGTTCAAATGTTCCCGTTCCAGGTAACTGCTGCACAGTTTAAGGTGAAATTCAAACGGGAAACGGGACATTCAAATACGAAGCTTGCGAATAAGAATCTGATTCAGCTTCGTTTTTCCCAGCTTTAACGCAAACGCACGAAATAGCTAGGTCCATCTCTCAGCAGTCCAAAAACACTAAGAAAAATTAATAAAATGTAAAACATACACTATAACCTGCATTTGGTATCACTTCAATAGAGAGCTAGCTTAGCTAAGCTAAGTAAACATGAGCTACCCTACCTGGCTGTTTAGCTTATAGCCTTTTTTCCTAACGTTGAGTAATATTAAATGTTTAATTATTACCATATAACACACAAAACTACTCACTCTCCTGGTAAGTGTGGATGAAATCATTACTATCCTTTAACTTTCAGCACAGCAGCCAGGAATCAAAGACAAGTCACGCTAAACCTGCGTTATATTTTCCCACCCGTATTCCGCTTCTTCTGCGCAGGGATTTGCCGATAGGATCCTACAGACCGCTTGGATTGGCTAGTAGTGTAAGGAACCATCCAATGGTAGTGCATGAAGGGCGGGACTTCGTGGAAAACGGGTGGGGGTAAAATGGCGTTTATGCTCGAAGAGGACGAAAATGACAGTCCTGTTTACATTTTTATATTTTCAAGTTTTAAATGTATGTTTTTTATTGCCACATATGAATGAATATTTAGCGATATCTATTTAAAAACATGTCAGTTTAAGAAAGAAATAACGCCGTTACGAGAAATTACGACTCGGAACCCCCAAACGGCGACTATGTTTCGCTCCGGAGGTTATTTCGGATTTGCACTCACGGCCGAGTGCTGTAAAGAGATTTTTTTAAAAATTGATTCGGTAAACAGTGAATTTTTTGTAAATCTTCACATTCTTAAAAGCGAAAATTGGCAGAGATTTTCATCAATATTTAAAAGCGGCATTTGGCTCAGTTTGTGGCGAAAATGGCACGTTTAGTGGGTTAAAACTGAGCAGGCAGGCGATGTGAGGGGAGTGTAAACAGAAAGCCTGGCTGTTACTTTCTAATAGCTGCTGCATTCAGTTCTTAAATCAGCTTGGAATCAGATTAAACGTGTAAACGCCTTTTAGGATTATTAGTAGTCCAGACAAGGTGCTCAGACTGTCACATCCCGCAGAAGGACAGCTGGTGGAGGGTTCAACCTCAGTGATGGCTGCGGCGGAGCACGTCGACATCTACGACGAGGAGCTGAAGGCGGAGGAGGAGGAGGTGGGAGATCATCCCTACTGCAGCCTGTGGGGTTTCTGGAGGAACCTTAAAATATGTTATTGTAAAACCATGCAGTAACATGATTTACTGATACCTTGTCACGTTGGTCCGGTTTAACTTCCCGTGTGATGACTAAAGTTTAGCGCAGGCTTAAAATAACTGGAACTACACTAAATGTCTGGAAGTGTTCAGAAATCCCTGCTAATGAATGAATTCACAGCTGTTTATGCCCAGTAACTAAATTTAGTTTGATAAATAAAATGCCACAGCATTGCAACTTATTCTGATTGGCCTAAATTAATGACTTGTTTTTATATAGTAATGACCGGATATGTAATTCTCATATTTTCATTCCATGTGACTTAATTTAATGCAATGTTTTGATTCAAAGCAGCCGTCCCAGCTTAGAGCAGTCTGCCAAAAATGCTCCAAATTAGCAATTAGTAATCTGAGATGCTATGCCAGTGAGCCCTTGATTAAAGGGGAATCCACCAATTTGTAATGGTTGATGTTTAAACAGAGTGATTCAGAGTGGTTTGGTGCGAAATGGTTCAGATTTCTTTACAGTGGTGGTGATACGAACCAGGGGTCACCATGACTACAACACTAATATAGCTATTTTATTTACTATCCTAAACCACCAGTGAACCTACACATGTCTTCTGAGCTTTTATATGTAGTGTTGATGATGGGAAAATAGTGGAAAATCTGAAATAAAGTTTTCTTTGGGGACTATTTTGGCTCACTACATCTTGCATGTACTTCTCCACTTTGAATAAGTTTTAGACCAAAATGTTGTCAAAACTATCATAAAACAGTTTCGCAGACATCAGGCAGTGTATGCATGACCATTTCATGTAATAACTTTCTGTGCGGGAGCTTTTAGAGGTGGAGATCTGGTTCCTATCATCACCACTGTGAAATATTCTGACTCGGTAAGTTTCTCTAGAACAGGGCATTTCACACCAAACCACTCTGAATGACTTTACATCTTAGTCATTCAATTATGCGGAAAAATTTGGAAACATTGCTGGAGTTCCCCTTTAATACCCCCCTAGTGCAGCCATGTGTAGCCCATTTTCTATAGCAAACATTTATGGTCATAAAAATTACTAAAAGTTTTCTCTTTGTCTCTCTGACCTGCAGGCTGGTGACTTTCTTTCCGCGGAAAACGACGCTCTCTATGACGATGTGTTGACCGGTTCTGTGAGCAGTGAGGCGCCACTAGAGAAGCAGAAAACTAAGGAGGATAACAAGCCAGAAGTAGTCTACACGTATAAAGGATGTACAGCGGATAAATCGAAACGATTTGCAGTCTACGTGGGCAACTTCTCCTGGGTGAGCAAATTAGCGTCCATTTGTTTTGAGTAAGGTATTCCACTATAGGTTGTTTCTGAAACGTTCACTTTTATATTCATAAAAAAAAATACAAAATATTAATTTCACAGCAATTTATTGGTCTTCAATTACCTTTGTGCTATAGTTATACTAGCACTGTTATTCTACGATTATAGATAGATGTACTTTATTGATCCTCAAAAGGAAATCTGGGTGCTACAGTAGAAAAAACCCTGGATACCTGCACAGAGAGACCCGTGAGGAGACTTCAGACCCTCCCCCTTTTCCTTCAGACTGAACAAGCGCCCTCTTGGTTAGTTCTGTTTCAGTGAGGCCCACTCCCATTTCTTATTTTTACCCCTACCCTTTGTTTTCAAGTGTCACCTTGCCCCTTGGAACTGAGTTGCAGGGCTATTGGTGTAAATCTTCCCTACGAAATGGGACCCTCAAATAAAAGATCATTACTTCATTAACAGGCTACTAGCGGTGCTCTGTAGGTGACCCTGCCAGTCTGCAGTGATAGCAGAGGAGGGTAAAGTTCAACCTCACAGCAACCTCACAGCAACCTCACTGCTGGGCTTTAATTACATTTAGGGAATCGTATGCTTTCAAACAGGGTGGGACAATTATTTATTGTCGCCAACCCCTAATCCTTCAGTGATATGAAGCTGAAGTCAGATATTCGCCAGCGTGTTGTTCAGTTTTTCCAGTTCCACCTTAAATGGAGCAGCAGTTATTCTGGTGCTTCAGGCATCAGAACTGCTGGACTATTTAAGGTGGAACGGGATTTAGCTAGCTAGCTACCCAGACATTAGCATACTGTTAGCGATTTTTTTTTAATGCTTGTTATGAAGAAAAGGAAGATAATACATTGAAATGACGTTAAACTAAGATAAAACAATGGTTATCATCATTTTTCTCAGAGAAAATTCTTACATTTGCCGGTTGTCCGGTTGTGCAGCCATCTTGCTGGTTTTTCTTTTTTTCTCATAACACTCTGTTTGGAGTGAGTCTCTGAAAAACCTCAGTTTAAAGGGCCATGTAGCCCTAACACTTCACCCTACCCCTCTATCTCATCAAGAATCGGGACACCCTACCCTTAGATGTGAACATGCAAAATGGAAGGCTAAGGGCTAAGTGGTAGGGGCGAAGGGTGAAATGAGATTGGGCCTGAGGCTCAGCATCTCCCTGTTAGTGGAGCGTGTGGGTCGGCTTGAGTTACTGAAGCTTCACTTTTTGGTGTCCCTTTGTTACATTTCCAACCACTTGTGGTCAGAATTAAGCACTGATTATCTCATTAAGAAAGTGTCACTTTGCATAACAGCGCTGGATAATATGGCAAAAATATTACGATACTTTATGAAGTTTCCACAGTGCATAATAGGTTAGGATGTTTATTTTTTCTGACATTAGATGTCACAATGAAAACTACAAATCCAGTTATTTGTATTTAACTGCACTGAAATATCTGCACTTTATTCATTTTTATCCTTGTGTAACCCTGAAAAAGTGCCAATTTATCCCTTTTCTGCATTTTATAAATGTTGATGTATCTGAGTCGTTATCAGTAAATAACTACATGAAAAATATTGGATATAGGTATATCACAATTCGATGGACTGGTGACTTGTCCAGGGTGTATCCTGCCTTCCACCCAATGACTGCTGGGATGGGCTCCTGCTCCCCCCGCGACCCAGAAGGTTAAGCGGCTTAGAAGATGTGTGTGTGTGTGTGTGTGTGTGTGTGTGTGTGTGTGTGTGTGTGTGAGTGTGAGACAATTAATATATCGATGCATCCCTGTGACGATGCTCCGTCGAACACAATCCCTAGTAGAGCTGGGCAATATGATAACATTTATCATGATTGTGATAAATTACATCAAAATATATCACAATATGCTTATCTGAGCTTATCTTGTATGTCGTCAGTACTTGTGAAATCACTTCCCATCTGCTTGTTTGATTTAAAAGAGAGCATAATTATTCCCGTGTAATTGGATTTAATCCAGCACTGTGTGTGTGGAGTGCTGAATACAAATCACAGATTCATTATTTTTATAGTATTTTTTCAAAGGTGGCACTACTCTGCCTGTTCCAACTTATCAGATGTGAGAAAACGTGTATCAGGAAAATGTCTTAAAACAATTATGATATTACATTTTTGCCGTATCGCCCACCCCTAATCCTCTGGCAGAGGTGTACTACCTGACTGCAGCCCAACGGAACCTAATAAAATATAATGTTTCAGGCTGCTTTGTCACGTACAACGTCAGACTCTGGTCTGTTGGGTATTTTTGTTTTGTTTTGTCTTTTTTATTTTATTTTTGTGCAGTAGATTTGTAAATTTGCACACTTGCACAGCTTTTCTCACTTTCACTTTCTCGTCAGCGCATCTTTAGTTTACAGTTGCGTTTGTGCATTCAGAATCTCTCTGGAGTTTGAGAGAAACCAGGAATAGAGTAAGCTGCCATGTTCACGCATAAATGAGGCTTACACGAATTGTGTGAATGTAGCAACAGTAGCGAGTAGAGCAGGGGTGTCAAACTCAACCACTAAAAGGGCCAGGTTAAAAAATCTCAACAAATCCGTGTTAAACTGTTAAACCTCTTTAAATGTCTCCAGAAAAATACAGGAATAACTTTCGCTGTTCGGTGTTAAGAGACAAGCTACGTCCTTTAGGTGACTATGATAATGTGGATGGCTATGCTCAATTTCAGTTCAGACAAGATCAAAATAGTTTTCTGTCCACTTTCTTGGCATCGCACTGCTTTAAAGTCCGAGCATGAGGCTAAACACCCACAGCTCCAGCTCAGAGACTCAGCAGCTGCCCAAACAGCTAAACTCAGGTCATCCAGAAACCGTCGTTTAAAAAGCCACATATTTGGTTTCTCAGGGAAACAT